AGCTCATTGTCGGAACTGCCGATATCGCACCAATATAGGATATAGCTGCCATATAAACTGACCGAAAAAAATCTTGTTTGCCAAACCTTTTAAATTGACGAGATATTTGGCATAGATTAGGAAATATTTTTAATTTGGATTGCTGCTTAATCAGTGGAAGGTAATATATACCGCAATTTCTTATGAAATTTTAGGCTGAAACTCAACATGATTCAACTATAATCGATTGAACCCGTCGAACGTACTAGAACTATAACCAATTCTGTGCTTCAAGGTATAATATCGCAATTTAAATTAAAAGTCTGCCCAACGTAGTTCTCTCATTGCGCCACTCTAAATATTATAGTGTGAGGCACCCTGTATATGCCACACTTAATGTGCGCAATTTCGCGCGATTTACACGCTTGGCTGGCCGCCGCACATTCACTTGTCCTCAGGCAGCTGGAAGGTGGAATTGCCTAATGGCTGATGTTGCAATCAACTGACGCAGCAGGCAGAAAATTGTTGCAACAATGCAGTGACACTGCAGCTGGAATATGGTATGTACAACGACAATAACAATAATAACAATTACAACAACGACAACAATAAAATCAGCAAAAGTAGCAACGGCTTATTGGCAGTTAATCGGCTTTCTGCAGTAAGCACTTTAATATTAAACGAAATAAATATTTAATGGTATAATGGCACGCTGCGTGCACTCGATTGCCTTAAGGCGACACGCGTTGTGGCTGAGTATGTTGTGGTCAGTTTGCTGAGTTGGATCGTATAATGATGAATGTATAATATAATATAATATTTTGGACGATTTTTTAGAGCTATTCCTCTGTTACCGAACGAACTGAAGTAGTTGGTGTGATCGAAGATTAGTTCATAACAAACTTAATTACATTTTCGCAACCCTCACGAAATTAACAAAATATGTATTTATAATGACGTTTTTCAGTACACCTACAATTTTGATACTTAATAGTAGATTCTTAAATTTAAATTGTTTAGGGTTTGAGCCCACATCTCACTGTGTGTCATTCACGCACAAAATACATTCCACAAACACATTCCGCTATATAAATGCTTTAAAAAACCATATACGCTCAATATATTATATAATAAAAACTGCATTTTTGATTGAAATCTTTTAATTTGCTTTAAACGCTTTCAATTGCGCGAGTATTTAATTTTCACAAAGTGCTTTTATATAACACAATTAATGAGAGTCTGCAACGGCACTTTCAAGTCTTAATTGTATTCTGAAATTTATTTTTCGCATGAAAGCTATCAGCAGCATGTGTTGCATATGATTTCCGTGACGTTATGAAGAGAAAGTAACAGCGCAAAACTGAATTGATGAATAAGTGAGTAATTGCTGGATGAAATGATAGCTTGACAGTAGCAACAACTGGTGGCTCAATGGCAAGTGGCATAACGGCCTCTACCTAATAGCCACATAATATACACACGGCTATTATTATACACAACGGCAGTTATATATAGGGTGCGTTTTTGGAGATTTAGAATTAACAAGCTGTCAAAACATGCTGATATTTTAGTTTTGCGTGTTTGCCTACCCAAATCAACACCGAAGCTCATGTAAAATATTGAATGTATATAGGCAGCTCTTTTAGAGTTATATATAGGCTGTCAAAATCAACTGTCAAAAATGGTGAGATTTAAGTCTAGTATAATTTAGCAAACTTTCCCACCAAGATCAACACCGAAACTCATATAGAATTCTTACCTCTTTTAAAGATATAATTTAGCACTTATATAAAATTCTGGTTATGTATATAGAATGTTCTTTTAGAGGTTTGCAATTTCAAAGCTGCCAAATTTAGCTGTCAAATAATTTTGAAACTTATGTTTAGCTCTTCTATCAATATCAACAGCGGAACAACAGCTACAAAATCTAGGTTAAAATCAAAGATGTTCTTTTAGAGATATAGAGTTTTAAGCTGTCAAATTAGCTGTCAAATAATGTTGAAATTTATGTTGAGTAAACTTCAGCGAAATTTCCTACCAAGATCAACCTCGGAATAACACAAGTTCTGAAAGTGCTGCATGGATGTTCACTGGGAGGTATGATGGAATTTCCAAGCTGTCAAATCAGCTGTCAGAAAATGTTGAAAATTGAGTTTAGTATACTTCAGCGAACTTTCCTACCAAATTCTAATGTCAAAATCAGCTGTCAAATATTGTTGAAATTTAAGTTCAGTATACTTTAGTGAGCTTTTCTACCAAAATCAACACCGGAAAAACATATATAAAAATTCTGGGTGTATACATAGGATGATTTTTAAGAGGTATAGCATTTTTAAGCTGTCAAAATCAGCTGTCAAATATTGTTGAAATTTCAGCGAGCTATAAATGCTCAATATTGAAACAACATACCAGTTCTGGCTGCATATATATTATATTCTTTTATAGCTATATGTACTATGTACAAACTGTCAAATCAGCTGTCAAAATATTGTTGCGTTGTGATTTTGGTTAACTTTTGCGACTTTTTCGTTACAGAAGTCAAGATCAGTCGCATAATTATTTGAAGCTTCATCTGAACAGTAAAATAAAACACAAAATGTGTGTATCATAACAAGAAATGTGCGCATCGCCGACTTGGAGGAAAATATAATATTTATGTATCTTATTTGAAATATTTTTTTTTGCAACACTCAAAAACCACACCTTATATATGAATTCACACTTGTGTTATTTTAACGCTATTTGGTGTTGTTATTGTGTGCTTTTCAATTATTTTTAAATCATTCAAGCAATTTTTTTTTACCTACCGCCACACCATTGTCGTTGACATTTTATCGCCATAAATACTTGCTGAAGCCGCTAATAACGGTAAACGCTGCAGGCGTTTGTCGCTCACCATTCACCGTGAACCGTTTAACGTTTGCCAGCTGTCATTGTAGAGTATATAGGTAAATATGCTGAGGGCAAGTATATGTATGGCAGTCAATTGTGGTGCAGCGGGGCGTATGATGAATATTCGCCTGTGCTACATAACCATACAAGTATTGTTCCATTATTTATATGCATATGGTATATCAATAAAGCATGAGTGTGCAAATACTTTTTTTCACGCAAATACTTACACAAACATACAGTTATTTTAATTTTTAATTTTTTTTTTTTTTTAATTTTTTATGTGAGAAAAAAAGAAAAACTGCGCGTAAAACCAACAATAACTAAATAAAACTCACTGTGCACTTACATTTATTATACTTTATTCCATTTAATTGTATTCGTATTTTTTTCATTCAAATATACAGACTTACATATATAATATATGCATGTATATATGATATATGAATATATATATATGTAGGTACTTAGTGCTAATGTGACTCACAATCATTAATTAAATACACATTTTTATGCTAACTTTTTATGCTAGTCGTTCTTACATATTTATCTTAATTCAATATATATTTTTTCTGTTTATTTATTATTCTATTTTAATTACCTTTACTTATGCATAAATATAATATTTTTTTTACCTATCAGACAATTATTTAATTATTAAAATGTGATTTACTAACTTGTAAGTAGTATTAACAGATTTTTTATTGTTTTAATTTTTTTATTTTTAATAATTTTTTTATTTATAATTAAAATTTTTTTTTTTTAGTTTTAGTCATTTTGTGATACAAAATTTTTTACATATACATACATATTTTTAATTATTTGTAGCAGTTGTGCAATGATTACTGCTCACACTTATTATTTTTGTATATATCTATGTATGTGTACGTATGTTATATACTGGGTTAACCGCTTTCAAGTAAGCCTTGTCAGTTTACACTAATTTTTTACTAAAATTTCATTAATATGTTCACTTTCACATTTAATTTATTTTTATACCTTCTCCGAATTTAATCTTGACGCTGCATTAAATCTGCTTCCATTTAATTTTAGTTTTAATTTCAAACACTTTATACAACAGTTTTTTATGCTTACCCTACTTTTCCCATGAACATTTTTGCAAGTGCATTGTTTTTGTTTCCTTCTGAAAAAATTGCTGAGTTCTAACCTTTTTGGCATAAAAAATATACACTTGTTATTATTTATGCTACGAAATTATCATAATTTTAAATTAATAGCAATTTAGCAAATTAGTTCAAAACTAGTTTCAAATTGGAAAAAAGTTCCTGCCTATAAACATTTGTTCAGCCTCTTAAATGGTTGTAAATACTAACTTAAATTATAAATAAATAATACAAGTAGTTGTGATTTATCACTAAAAAAATTTAAATATAATAATAACAAATTTGCATTAAGGCGCACGACGATTTTTTCATATTTCAATAGGTTACACATTAAAAAAAACATACCAAAATTTTTCTATTAATATCTAACATAGTTTTTGAGTTAGATCCTTCTAAAGTGAAGCCGCTCAGTGCAAACGATTTCATTAGTTTTTGTGCTTGCACATTAAATGGTATTGAGCTTTTGTGCTTTCATATTAAAAAGTATGGAGCTTTTATGCTTTTACATTAAAAAGTATGGAGCTTTTGCGCTTTCACATTGAAATGTATGTAGCCTTTGTGCTTTCACATTGAAAAGTATGAAGCTTTTGTGCTTTCACATTTAAGGGTATGGAGCTTTTGTATTTTCGCATTAAAAAGTATGAACATTTTGTGCTTTCACATTAAAAAGCAAAGACGCTTTGTTGCTTTCATTTAAAAAAGTATGAAGTTTTGTTTGCTTTCATTATAAAAAGTATGGATCTTTTGTACTTGTACATTGAACGGTACGGAGCTTTTGTGCTTTCACGTTGAAAAGTTTAAAAACTTTTTTTTGTACCTTAAAAAGTATTTTTTTAGCGTACGGTTTGCTGAAGTATTATAAATAAATTTCGATCAGGCGCATGCTAAACCGCATACTTTGACCTTGATAAACGAAAAACTTTACTCTAGTAATATAGAGAATAAAAAACGAGAGATTGTTCGATTCGCTACTCTCCAACGAATCGATGATAATTACTAATTACATTTAAAAGAGGATTTTCATTATATATATTTACTTTATCACGACGTTAGAGGGTTTCCTGGTACCCTAAAATTACATTTTTTGAAAAGAGTTGCTAGATATTAGAAATAAGATAGTTAATATTTACATACAAAAGAGGATTTTTATTAGCTATACCTTATATTACGACCTTAATTGGTTTCCTAGATCTTAGAGTGATATTTTTTTGAAAGGAGTTGCCACCTATTTAAAATAAGACAGTTAATAATTACAAACCAAAGAGGATTTTTAATAGCTATACTTCATATTACGATCTTAAGGGGTTTACTAGATCTTAGATTCAATGTTTTTTAAAAGATTTGCTAGCTACTAAAGAAATTTAACGCAAAGTTATATAAAATATACTTCAATTTGTTCTGAAAGCTTTCCGAACAGTAGTTGGAGCTTTGTTTCTGATATTTTCTTGGATTCGAGTTATGTTATCGAAATGGAAATAAAAGAGCAGAAGAGTAATTTATTAAAAATTTACCTCATCGGTTACATGCCTTCTGGTAATGATTAGTGAATAAATGTTTCGAAAATATTTTGGCATAATAATTGGCTTTTCACTATTGAAGTAGACAAAAGTTACGTTTTACCTTGGAGGAAGTCGTCAAGAATTTTATTTCGAAATATTTAAAAAAATATTTGGCAGATAACAAAAAATTTAAAACTAAAGAAGTTATCATAAATTGTTAGATGAATTTTGAAAATTATTCAACGTTATTCAGTAGTTATTTAAATAAGTTTTGGAGTAAAAAAAAAAATAGACAAAATTTCGTATTGTTTACGGCCTGCCGAAATTCGATTTGTAATGGGATCAAAAACCACTCGGTGAGTCTATGGAGAACTATATACAGAATACACAAAAAAAAATTTTTGAAAGGATCACGTGTCTCCGAGAAATCACTCAAATTCAAAAAATTTATTTTTGAGAAAAATATAAACTGATGGAGCTGATTGAACTGAGAGGCTACACTTTAAAATGCTATAACTCCACAAATAATTGTGTTATCGATTTCGAATGTTATTTCTAAAGGTATAACCTATCGAATTATAAAATTTTTTGTTTAATTCTAAACTAGGTGTGCCCCTTAAGAAATACAGATACAGAAATCATTTAACCTAAAGGGGAAATATTTTCGTGAAATGTTAAACCATTGTGTTACATTCTTTGCGTGATCACACCCTGTATATTATTACTCTGGTTTTCGTATTTTCTACTTAAACGTTTCTTTTTGAATTTTGTTTCTTGTTTTAAAAAATTTTGGTTTTCATTTCGTCAAGTAATCGGCCATTTGCCAAACTGGCGAAATTATTTTATGATAACACTTGCTTAACTGACTGTTATCTAACCGACGGTTAGTTTAATAATGGTTAGTTCTCCACCAATAAGGTTGCTTAACTGACGTTTACTTAACCGACTCTTACTTAACCGATTGTTACTTATCCGAAGGTTACATCACCAATGGTTAGCTATCCAACAATCAGTTTCAACTACAAAATTTATGGTACCTGTTGTAAAATAATTTCATGATTAAATGCGGCAAAAAGCAGTTGTTAACCTTAACAAATACCGTAATTTGGTGTATTACTAGCGCTCCTCTGACCTACAGTTACACATAGAGAGACTCTTACTTGTCTGTATGTACATTCATTGAGTTGTGATTTCTGTGCGTACGTTTTACGGTTTATTCGCTGGGATCTTTGCTGATTTCTTTTTACTTTATTATTTACCTTTTTAGTTGTGTTTCTTTTTTAAATTTTATTTCTTGTTCTTTATTTGCTTTTTTCATTTTCTTTTAGTTTTTCTATTTAATAAACCGCAGGCTGTTTCATTTATTGTAATCTTAGCTAAATCTCATTTCTTTAATGCTATTTGGTTTCATGTATTTACCTTTGGTTTTTCTTGTTCTTAGTCTTTTAACATATTCTTTTTTCAAGTTTGTTAATTAAGTGGGTTACCTGACCTTTATACGCGTCATTTAGTTGTTTCTGTTTGAAGTTGTTTTTTTTTTTAGAATTTCTTTGCATTTATTTATTTGATTTGCTGAGATGCAATAATGTGAATGAAATTACCGTTATTTGACTAATTACAATAAAATGACGATTGCGTGTGCGCTTTGTTGATTTTCATCTCATCTCATTTGTATTGTTGTTTATCTTTCTTTTTTTCTGTATTCTTGGTGCTTTTTGCAGCTATGCATTTGAGCCGAAATTCTTGACTTTTTGACTTGAATTACATTTTTAGGTTCAAAGGTTGTAGTGGCGAGGCAAACGTTAGCGTTCTAATAAAATCATTAAATTAAAAGGTTCTTAGCTTTATTAGCTGCAATTCAATTTTGATTGCTCGAGGCATTTTAAGGAAAAGAACAGATTATATGAGAAATAGTACCTGAAAGGAAAAATTAAATTTCTACATTCATTACTGCTTTCTAAAAATATAAATTTTTTTTCCTTACAATCTGTGTATTTTTATAAATTAAATCACTTTCGTTTTAGTTTCTTTCGCAACCATTCTCGCTAAACCTTTGCGCCTTCCAAGTAGCTTTCAATTTCATGCCTGCTTTCACACACTCAACGACAGCCGCTTCGCTGTTGTGCTTAACGCGCAACCTTTGCGTATATTTTTGCGCTTAGAAAGCCCTCTGTGAACCCAACGCTCAAGTTGCCTAGTTTCTCCGCTAATAAAGAGAGTCACTAATATATATGTACAAGTTTTTATAGCGCTAAGTTTTGCGTTTTTTATTTGTTGTTGCTACAACAATTTCAATCTCTTTTTTATGCTTCTTATTAAAAGCTTCGCCTTTCATTATTACGATTTTTCGCTTTGACTTTTGAGGTGTTTCAAACTAAATAAATTTACTCTCAATAATTTTGTCATTTGTTTCATCAAGTTTACTTATTTTTTGTTTCTTGTTCGCTTTATTTACTTACACCCCAAACTTTCCATTTTCCTTCACTTGTTTTTATCGCCAGCTCGTCACTCTGCCTTATTGCATGTTAATTTAAAGGCGCTGTTATGCAAATGTCGGTACTTTTCCGTCATAATGTCTTATTTCTTCGAAAGCTCAACAGCGCATTCAAATTCTTGTGCTTCTTCACTTGATATTTCGCTATTAGTTGTCATGCTTATTAAGCTGTACTATTTGTCCTTCAAATGAAATTAATTTAATTGATGATTTATGCTAAGGCAATATTGAGGCTTCGCATGCTTTATCTAAGTATATTGAATTGAAATTCTTAAAGAAAGCTCACGTCCGCTTGGCTTCTCTGATTTAATCAATACTTATAAGATTGTAGCAATTACTGTTAAATTAAATAGAAAATGTTATATGGATTCTCATAGCAACGTCAAATTTTTACTTTTTTAGAGAACTTTTTAGGGAATACTCTAAATGCCCGACGGTATTCGCCACGTTCACGCACGTACGCTAAAGGGCTCTTTGTTTCGCGACATTTTGACTGTGCTGTATTGAATTGATTGGACGTCGTAATAAATGTTAGGCTAAATCGTTAGAAAATGGTCATTTCAGGCTTTGCAGCATGTATAACAAACACTTAAGACTACATTAAATACTTTTATAGCGGAATAATAACGGAATTATTCATTGTTTCTCTTTTATTTTTAGAATACGGACAAATTAGCATGAGCAGTTTCAGTTTTAAAGTTCCTATGGGTCTAAGTTGACTAGACTAACTGACAGTTACTTAACTGGCGGTTAGTTAACCAATGTTTGGTTATCCACCAATATGGTTGCTTAATTGAGGGTTACTTAACCGAATCTTACTTAAACGATTGTTACTTATCTGAAGGTAACCAATGGTTAGTTAACCAGTGGTTAGTTATTTAACACGCAGTCTTATCTACAAAACTTATGGAACCTGTCAGTTGAAAAATATTTTCTGAAAGCTTAAGTGAATACAAGTATACAGAGGAAATCTAAGTTTCTACAATATGAAATCATGTTCAAGTTGACTTTTTACACTAGGTACAGTAACTTCCAAGATAGATTGCTATTTGCTAAAATGCTAAGAAAATCATTCAGTCACTCTAAAGATATATTCAGAGTTTATTTTGGAGATCGCTTTGTACTGCTATATTGTAAAATACTGACATGGATACTAATATTAAGAGCTTCAAACCTTCAGGACTATCAAAAAAACTTTTTAATCGAAGTAAAATTTTGGAAACCTATAAAAATTCTGAAGTCCCATAGTGACCGATAAACTCAATGGTTAACAATCTGTCGAGAAGTACACATTCTATACAATGCCATACCCTCGAAGGCTCCTCCGTCGAGTGTGATTGCTTTTGTTAGTAAATTGTGGTAGTAGCCCTATTATACTTGTATTCAATAATTTAAACTTTTTAACTTTATATGCCTTGTCATTACAACCTTTTCCAATTAGAATATTTGCAACTCAGCACAATATTTGTTTAAAATAATATAGGTTTATAATTTATTTGTTTATTTTCATCTAATTCTTAATATTATTATTCACAAATTATTACTAACTATAAAACACTTTTTATTTTTAATTTTCCTGAATTTCTAAAAATTGTTAACATTCACATTTTCGCAAAAATTTGAGTCACATTGGGTCGGTAAAAGCTTGCTGCTGTGACTTCATGTGAGTCTTTAACTACGGAGCATAATGAAGGTGGTAAATATGGAGTTGAAGGTAGAGAATATGCAATTTAAGCTGGTGAATATGCGCTTGAAGTTGACATCAAGCCGAAACCGATTTGTTGACAGGGAAATTTGTTATTTTTTTTTACACTATGAGCACATTGTTGATTAGCGAATATGGAGAAAAAATGTTGTATAAGTATTCATGAAAATTACAAAAAATGTTTGATTTAAAAACTATTTTTTATGGAAAACTGAGCTATAAACTAGCACAGCAGCAAGCGTCATATAACTTACTTGATTAATATATTATTATCTATAAAATTTTAATTCCATTACTACACATACAATTCAACTACACTAAAAATAAATACTACAGCGTTTTTTGCATACTTTTGGCATACAAGTGTCATTACATATTTACTTATTTTAGTTGTTATTTAATAAGTGGTATTCTAACAAAATTTTCGACAAATTAACTAAACGATAATTGTATAATGAAAATATTAATATCACGTGCCACGAAGTCAAGTGAAATACTTGTTAACACTTTCAGTTTATCAGCCAGAATTGTAGCATATCTTTAGGCACCACGAAAAGAAATTTAAGTTATGTGTTTACCGGCATGAGCATTCAATTCTACTCAGCTCCTTGTTATGCTACAAAGTGTGAAGCCCCGATGTGCTGTTACATCAACGTGTGTGACTTCAGTATGACACACGCTAATAACTTTTGGTTAAACATTAAGTATGTATATTTCGAAGAAATATTACCGGATTTAAAACGTTAAAATTTTACAAATGCAAATTAACCAGAGCACTCGGTTTTACAATAAAAGAGCGAGTGATTAACACTAAATACCAGAACTTTTACAGATTTCGCGCCTATCTTCACATACTAACTGTCAGCCGCCTTACAATTAATGAGCCATAGTGTGTCAGAGCATTAAATTAACATAACGATGGCATCTCTGGCCTGGCGCTATAAGCACCAGTATGCTGTAAAGTTACATAAAGTAGGTATTATCACACGACTTATAGCGCTTATATATTATATACACATAGCGGACATACATACATTTATATATACACATTCTAGCGTCACGAAAATTTACATTACATGCTTATAGATTGTGGCATAGAATTTTGTGAAAATTTCTCTTGCAGCATTGATGGCGCCCAGCTAACGCCAGACTACTAGCTATATACTACGTACAAACATATACAGATCGCTTTAACCACGGCCAGTCTCGACATTAGAGCCGCGCGCTTAGGCTACTTTGCCAGCCACCTTACGCCTTAGTGTGCTGCATTGCTGGCGCAAAATTTCATTACGTGCTACAGTTTTGGCTTACTGCATTTCCGGCGCTGTTGACGCTGCCTTGTCGTCTTGTCACCCTTTGTCATGCGCCTACTTCCGGTACTCGGCCATCGGCATGGCGACTAATACGGACATGCTGCGCGCCGGCGGACTATGACAAGCTACACGAGTTGTGGTTAAAGTGTTGCTACGACCACCACCACCACCAGCACCTGCCATAGACGTCCCAGCGCAGACGACGCCGCGCGCACAAATGCGCGCCATTTGATTGTTTGCTAATATAACATTCTCCGCGTACTAAATATCCGGTATACTGCGTCCGGTCGCCGACGCCACTGCAGCGCTGCCAGCTGACATTTTGACATCGTCCGCACCGCTGCTGTTGGTGCCGCCGCCGACGCCGCCCAGCGCGGCTGATTTATTTTTGGCACAGTTGGCATCATGATAGATATGTTCGCACAGTTTTGGCTCTGAGCTGGAAAATTTGCTGAGCTCATAGGCGTTGAGTGCACTGTTGCCGCCACCACCTCCGTTCGCATCGTGCAATGCGGCTGCATGACGTTCTTGTTCGGCCAACGCCAAGTTGAGATTCAGTTCGCTGTGTTTGCTAAACGATGTTGTCATTGTTGCGGTGTGTGGTGGCGGCGGGAACGTTTGCTGATGCGTTGGCTGATGGTGTGCGTAGTAGTGATGCGGCGCTGCATGCGGAAAGCTTTTCGTCAGCGCGTGCAGGCTACCCGAGCTCACGGTGCGCTCCAGTATTTCACCCCAGTACTTTTCGGAGAGGCCTTCAATATCGGGCCGTACGCTAGTAAAACTCATACCACCACCACCGCCGTGATGACTGTGTCCATGATGCCCGTGACTGCTGTTACTACAGCCACCACCACCCGCACCGCTGTTGGCATTCTTGCGCGCTTGTTGCGATGCGGTGCGACTGAGACTGTTGGTGCGTGCTCGCGCGCAAATTCCCAGCACTGAGCCACCGCGTATGCCACTGCCGCCGCCACCCCTACTACTGCCGCCTCCACCACTGGAGCTATTGCCGCCTTCGCTGCCATTGTTATCGCCAGCAGCATCGGCGCCGCTGCCACCCTTAGGTGGTCGTCCGGTAGGCGGTTCCGGCGGCAGTGGCAGCGTTGTGATTTCAAAATCAGAATTGATGTGACAACAGGGTGATTTGTGTTCGGGCGCGTCCTCGGTGGGGAAACACTGCAACGATAGCAAAGTTAAAATGATAAGCAGTGTGAAAAAGGAGTGAAAATTTATTGGCGTAGAAATGTGAAAGTCTGTGTGGGTAATTGTAACCGAATGTGTGTTATACGCATAAACTAGCTAGGCTTAATTTAAGTTAAATGGTGCAGATATTAAAGGTTAGGCTTTCACCGGCAATATTTGCGTATTTTATACATTTCTTCTAATGATCAATTCATAGCTGAGATATAATAAAATATATTCGATAATACTAACAAGAGAGCTTTATTGGAGCCGTGGTGCTGAGCGAACTCTTCCATTGGTAAGACTTTTAACCTTACTGCGTGGACTCCAATAGAACAATTTTTGTTATAATCTCTTCAATAAGAGAAAGTCTAATCTTGCTGAAGGCGAAACTCTCACTGTTTTTCTTGTAATTTACTATGGGCCAGAAAGATCTTGTGACCGCAAAGGTAGCGATAGTTGCACAACGATTACCGAGCTCTGACCGGGGTCAGCTGTCCAATAGTAAGCAACAAGTGGGCAGCGGAGCTTCGACCCATTCCCACTCCAAAGACAGTCAATTCATCAGTTTTGCTGTCGCCTGCGATTCCTCTAAGGCCTGGTAGCCAAACTGGACTTATCCAAAATTATATCGATAGTTTTGATAGATAAGTTGGGCATTCCTTAACCAGCCTCAAGTTAATATTGTCCCCCTACTATCGGAGTGGATAGTTACATACTTCCCTAAAGGAAGCTACCCTTTCGTAAATTAGCTCACTATTGCTCTCTCCCAACAGCAGCTTTCTCCTACCCACATTTCCTTCGTATGATGGCAGAGAAAAGACCGTTTCGGCGCCACTATAGTCCAAATAGTCTGGTAAAATGTGCGTTCCGGCTGAGTCGACCGGTGTTATGCACAAAATGGCATTAAGTGACATGGTTAATGTGATTAATGTGGTCTTTAGTGCACCACACATGTCGATGATTATGGCCTGTAGCACGCTTTTCAGTTTCTTAGCAAGTGTAGCCTTTTCTAACGCTTTCCACCACAAAAAAACGCTGTTGAATATACCAGTTGAAGCGTTTGGATTAAAATAATCCCCTGATTTACTACCAGTCTTTCTAATATAACGATTATTACTGATATTTTAAGGACCTCTCGACCGATGCAAACATATATATCAATTACAAAGTCAAAGCAAATTTTTTAGGCATTAGAGAATTCACAGTACTTAATTCTTTTATTTATATGTTCCCCTACTTGCAGTGTTATTTTTTCTGAAACAGAAAGCATTCCACAAAAAAACTTTGAGGATAGGTGGCAGTTTGAAAATACTTGGCTCGATGTAAGTTCGGGTTCAGTACGTTTGCATATACCATAGATTGTCGTAAGAACGGTCTATAGAAGCAATATCTCTAAGCAGCATTGAAATCAATTTTAAGTCTCACAGTCATCACCAAGATGCCTGCTGTCTCTCACAGTAGCAGATAGAAGCACTAGTGATTCATTAAATGCGCGAGTTGCTCAAACTAAATAAAATATGAGGTTAGGTGCTGCAAACTACTCTGCAATCGCCCTGTAAAATGAGTTCAAAGTCTTCATATTACTTGCTAAAAGTAATTTAGGCTGAGAGAAAAATAAGATTAATTTCCGCAGAGTCCATAATAAGTGACAGAACGAAAGGTGAGCGGTGCCTGCATAGGTGCGCATTACTGATGTTATTGCACGACTGATTTTATTTACATTGTCGGTCAACGGCACTACGACGAGTGACTTAATTAAGCCACGTTGAAAGCGAATAAATAAACCAAATTGATTTCAACCATGTAATCAATGCGTTTGTGTTAGTGGAAGTGTGTGGAAGGCGAAATTACAAAAGAGTGTAGTAGATGAATGAGTCTGTGGCGAAAATTTATTGCTTTCTGCACTCATTAAATAAACAATAAAGGCTTTGACTTTGTCACTTATACTATACTACTTTTCGGGCTTTGCGACACGCACATGCCCCCAACAAACTCTCACACTCTCTTTATCTCTCTTTCATTTCACTTGCATAAATACATATATACAGTTACGCATTGTAGCATAAATTAAATGCCGCTTGATTTGAGTTCATTGATTACAGCGAAATTCTTTGATTTATTGTCATTTGTGTGCGAAATAAATATTTGTATGAATTTGTAGCCTATCCACAGGCGCACGCTTTTTCTTTACTATTTGATTTTGCTTGTTATTGTTATTAAATACTGTTTGATTTAAGTATTTATTTAATGATAACGCTATAAAAATACTTTTATTAACAGTTATTTATGTAAATGGTTGCAATTTTCTTTTAAATAATCGAAAAAAAATTATAGAAAAAAAATTGTTTGCTTTGTCAAAGTTGCCCGCACTTATCGTTGCAATTTTGCTTGGCGATTGCATACATAAATTATTATTTATACATAGTTATATATTATACACAGTTATACAAAAAATAATAATCATTTGCCAAACCATGCTGTCAATTGCCCAGCGTTGCACAACAAATTGCCTACAGATTTTGTTATCCAAACCCGCTGTCGCGCGCAGCCGAGCTGTTGAATGCAATTCAATGGAATTATTTACTATTAATTAGCATTATTTTGTTCGTATCTCTGCCTTTCATATAATAGCCTTTGACATATAATTGATGAATGTTCGCTGCTACAATTTGCAACATTTAACCGCATTTATCAAATTGTAGCTCTCTAGCTGTGGTACGTAGTGCGTGAAGTGTGCGGAGGCGTTTCATAGTAACAAAACAATATACTTGTAAATGAAGTAAGTGATAAACTTGCTGTTATTTTTTCTTAATATAGTAAAAAATTGTTAGATGGATTCACAAGAACCTCTTATCCAAGCACCTGGAGGTTCTGGTGAGTCTCTAACGATGTGTGTTGTCGTGATGTTACGCCATTCGTATCCTGGGCAATTGCTTTCTTCAGACGGTACAATTGTCCAACTAACAGATAGAAAAACCTTCCTGATATTCATTAAAGTTCTAGTTCTAGTTCTAGTTATTTTTATGGTTCTAGTTCTAGTTATAGATTTAATTATAGCTTTAGTGCTAATTCTAGTTCTATTTCTAGTTCTAGTTTGAGTTCTAGTCTTAATTATAATTATAGTTATTTTTCCAGTTATAGTTGTAGTTCAAGTTCTAGTTCTATTTCCAATTCTAGTTCTAGTTCTAGTTCTAGTTGTGGTTCTAGTCATAGTTTTAGTCCTAGTTCTAGTTCTATTTCTAGTTATTGTAGTAGTTGTAGATGTATTCACAAGAACCTCTCATCCAAGCACCTGGTGAGTCTCTAACGATGTGTGTTGTCGTGATGTAACGCCATTCGTATCCTATTGGGCAAAGGTGACCGATTCTGGGCAATTGCTTTTTTCAGACGGTACAATTGTCCAACTAACAGATAGCAAAACATTCCTGGTATTCAATAAAGTTCTAGTGCTAGTTCTAGTTATTTTTATGGTTCTAGTTCTAGTTCTAGTTATAGATTGAATTCTAGTTCTAGTGCTAGATCTAGTTCTATTTCTAGTTCTAGTCCTAATTATAGTTATAGTTATTTTTCCAGTTATAGTTGTAGTTCAAGTTCCAGTTCTAGTTCCAATTCTAGTTCTAGTTCTACTTGTGGTTTTAGCTATAATTTTAGTCCTAATTTTAGTCCTAGTTCTAGTTTTATTTCTAGTTATTGTTCTAGTTCTAGTAATAGTTCTATCTCTAGTTATTGTTTTAGTTCTAGTTCTAGTTCTAGTTTTAATTCTAGTTCTAGTTCTAGTTATTGTTCTAGTTCTAGTTCTAATTCTAGTTCTAGTTTAAGTTCTAGTTTAAGTTTTAGTTCTAGTTCTAGTTCTAGTTCTAGTCTGAATTATAGTTATAATTATTTTTCCAGTTATAGTTGTAGTTCTTATTCTAGCTCTAGTTTTAGTTCTAGTTGTGGTTCTAGTTCTAGTCCTAGTTCTAGTTCTAGTTCTAGTTATTGTTCTAGTTCTAGTTCTAGTTCTAGTGCTAGTTCTAATTCTTGTTATAGTTATAAATATAGTTCTAGCTATAGTTCTATTTCCTGTTCTATATATTTTTCTAGTTATAGTGAAAGAAAGAGAGAGTTCTTAACTATAGCAAAAAGTCCCAAATCAGTGAATAGGTGAGGAACCTCGTCACTGATGGAGTATATTTATGCCGTACTTGTGAAGCCGCAGCATTTATTCCACTTTTACTTCTTAATCGTTATTAACAATATTATTACTTTACTGATCTAAAACTTAAGTTTTTCTTGTGCTTATGTTTAAAATAAATACTAAAACATAAGAGCAGTAATATTCTCACATAATATACATCACAAAATAATAGCAAAAATGTATCTAAATCTATTTACAATATAATATGTATGTCTTTTAAAGAGCTTTCTGGCTTACCCTATTTGGCATCAAGTGTTTACTCAGCCGTCGAAAATCCGAATTGAGAAGCCAATACATAAAAGGATTCCACAAACTGTTGCTTAAAGCAATCCAAGTTACCACAAAATCCAGAAAAGGTGGCAGCTGTGCGTGAGACGAGAGAAAAATATACAATAAAGTCGCAAGAAAGAAAGTTGTGTGAAATGAAAACAAAAGGCTTTAGACAAAAGTGAGTGAATACACAGAATTTGGAAGGTCTTCTATTAAATTGGGTTAGTGAAATTAAATAATGGTTTTCCAGCTTTGTTTTGCTGGCGTGAAAGCTTTTTGTGGGAAAGCTTCAAAATTTAGACTTATTATTTGTAAAAGTTTCAGTTTTTGTAAAAAATTTTTGAATTCCAATGAAGCCGTAAAAGCTTTGTTGGTCGGCGTGAAAGCTTACAGTATGAAAGCTTCAACATATATCGTTGAAGATATTCCTCTAAAAAATTTAAAATTATATATAAAAAATAGCGTCAATCACCATTATTAATCATTAAGTTAGTGAAGTTAGTTTTTGATTTTCTCAAGCGGTTTGAAAGCCTTTTGAGTGAAACTTCATATCGAAAATATAGACCAAATCTTTATTATTTGCGAACCTTCTGCACAATAGACACTTTTTTTTGGTATACATTAGCGAGGTTGAGTTTAGGCAATGAATCAAAGTTGCTGGAGCTAACGTTTAAAGTTAGTACCTGCGGTTAGTCAAGAGCTCTCCGAAGTGAAATAAATTGTACTTGATATCAATGAAATTACTTATAATTATATATTATACAAGTATATACTTAAATTCAACTTACCTTGGAGCCCGTGCAGGCAGTGACAATCTCCTGTATCGTCCACGGTGTGATCATAACAATAAAACCCAACGAAATGGCAGCCATAGAACGTGAGGTATTGCCGGCAGAGTGTTTTTCCTGTATGGGCACAATCTAGAATCGGGATGCAAAGAGTAGAATAAGCAGATTACCTTTCAATTACAAACTAGAAAGTGCAAGAAAATTAATAGAGTGTGGGAGGCAAGTAAAGCGAGCTCAGTAAATTAGCTAGTCGCCCACGACCAAAGCAGGTGATTAGAAAGTAGAAAGTAGTAAGTAGAATGCATGTAGATACCGAGCGAGTGTGTGTGCACATTTTGGCCATTCAATTAGCAAGTGAAAATGTTTGCTAATGAACTAGATCAGGATGCTCGTCCTTCACCCAATTCCAAGCATAAGCTCATGCGCGCTTAACTGTCTTGCCTAGGAAAATGGTAGCCACAATTTATGTCGCATACGCGTGAACGCCAAATTAAACGAGTTCGTGACTAACAACAACAACTATCAACGAGCTTAACAAACGCATACAAATACGAAATGAATCAACGGAAGTCCATGTGACCACTACGTTGTACGGCTTTTCGCTTTGAACGCTCGTTTTAATTGCGGTCAGATAACCAACTAGCAAGCGGGCTTTCACCGCCGAATGCAACTCTCTCTGCTATTAACTAACAATCTAACGCCACATTTCGTCTAACCGGTTGAATGCCGACGTTTGCACTTACCTTCTTTGTCACATTATTCGATGGACCACCACCTGCACCAGAACCAGCGCCTCCAGCTGAACCGCCTCCATTACCACCACTCATGACCGAAGCAGTAGCACCACCACCACCACCAATGCCGCCGCCGCCATAATGCATGCCACTAGCACCACCTAGGCCACTCATACCGGTCATACCAGTCATACCACTCATGCCACCCATGCCCAAACCCATGCTCATGGCCATGCTGAGATTCATTACCGGCGTGTTCGGTAGCGTTGTGGTGCCCGGCGGCAGGCTGTGATGACTCATACCCCCACCCGCCATACCATGCTGCATGTGATGGCCATGCAACGCTTGTTGGTACATGTGCGGCGGATATCCGAGATGCGGATGATGGACCGCAGCTGTTAGTGGCATGGTTGGATCGTTCAAACGGAAACGGCTCAAATGAAAGCTCGAGCCGTAACAGTACATTAGCACCATGGTGGTGGGGAAGTATAGTGCGCAGGTGGACAGTATACGATATGATGGCTTACTGTAGAACGGTTCGCAGGCCATGAGGCCGGTGTTGTTGAAGTAATAGCCTGTAAAGAAAGAGAAAAAATTACTCAGGCAATCTATGGAAATAAAATGACTGGCTTAAGCTCAGCTTGTTCAAAGGTAAAAGTGACATCTTTGAGCGTATTAACGACTGGCTGTCCAAGTGATGTAAGGATAAATGGCTATTTTGTAGATGTGTGAAGTGCATTGAAGCAAGTCCAGTGGTCGCAAAGCTTCGTACGGGAAATTTAAAATAAAGGTGCTCATAAAATCCATTAGTTGTTCATAAGTACATAAGACCTCAAGTTGCTCCACAAAGTATTCACATTACAAAAGAATCCGGTGATTAAGGAAAGAAAGTAGGAGGGAAGCTACCACGTCTTTATCTTGAGGCCATCGGAAAGAAATTCTCGTTAGGGATTTATAAATTGTTATTAAATTATTTGTTTCCGATTATGTATTTGAAATTAGTCTAAGTCTTTCCGTTTATTGCTTGGAATGAATATAATAAATTTGGAAATATATATATATTCTGAGATAAGAGGTACAGAGACAGTGTAGTATTTGATATGAGGATCAATGCACAAACTAATGTTATTCCGCTTTTCGCTCTCTCTCTCTCTCTCTCCCTTCTAGTCTACTGGTTGATCTCGCAAGATACAAAACTTGTTTTTTTATCGGCTGTAACTCTGTTTCTGAACGTGGAAACTCTTTGAAGATAGTAGAAACAGTGGTACTTCGGTTAATAAGAATAATTTTCGGTCAGAAAAGAAGAAACATAATGCTTTTTTTCTCTTAGTAAAGTCATATTTATCTCTCTCGCTCCTCTAGCGATGGCATAAAGAACACATGCAATGGTATAAAGACGGTTCGAAAACGGCAGATGGGATTGGGACTGGGATAGTGGGATCACGCATAAAACTGTCAGTGCCCATAGGTAGGTTTCAAAGCAATTTTCAAGCTAAGGCCATTAACAGCTGTATAGCGATTATTAAAGAGAAAAGCTATCACCGTGAACGTGCTGTCATTTTTATATATCGTCACTTCAAGAAATCTCGTCCATTGAAATGAAATCAACAATGGTATTAGAGTGCATAATGATTAATAGGGTTGCCATAAATAATAAAATATATAATAAAGCAAGGATCTTGCCAATCTACTAACCAAAGAAACTGAGACAACCAAGCCAATAGGAACGTAACCGTTTTTTACTGTGGCCTTCCACACATTGCGAGAGAAGCTAAGGGAAGAGCACTTGTAGCAATCGCTCCTCTCAACAAATGACCAGGCTTTGTCAGGCGAAATGGTTTTTTGGTAGTGTTCAATCCAAAACGGATTGCAACTTACTGGTCTCGCCTCAAAAAAATTAATGCAGCTAATAGAATTTTATACAGGTCAATGCAGGAAGAGGCTCGGATTAGAATACAGCGCTGTCGGTTTTGCGACTATATAGACACCTGGACAGAGATGGTTCGTGTACTATAATTCACGTCTTGAAATAAGTATGAAATGAATTCAATCGCATCAGTTAGCGCTCAGCTTCACTAGACTATACTTTGCGCTGATATCGGATCACTATAGGATATAGCTTCCATACAAACCGATCGAACCAAATCGAGTTCTGGTGGGGAAAACTTTTTTATTTGACAAGATATCTTCGCGAAATTTGGCATATATGATTGTTTAGGGCAAGGCTATTATCCCAGAGCAAATTGTTAAGATCGGACTACTATAGCATATAGCTGCCATACAAACTGAACGATCAAAATTAAGATAAAGGTTTTTTATATCCTTTATGCTATAAGAAATGAACACGTGAAGGGTATTTAAGCTTCGGTGTAGTCGAAGTTAAAATTATTCTTAATGACCTTTGAGTTCTTATACCATTTTGAACTATACTATTTGGTATATGTATTCAAGAATCCAAAACAAGCGTTTTTCTTAAAGCTTTTTGAGCGCTGATCGAAAAAGTCATTAAGCAACAGCTCATATAAAGTTTAAATTTGTTTTTTTTTTTGTTTTGTTTTAATATTACTTACCTTTTGGCAGCACTAGAAAACCAAATACCGTCAAACTGATGATCCATGTTAAGCTCAGCACCGCAACACAGCCCTGTGAAAACCAAAATAGAGAAAGAGAAAAAGAAGAAGAATGTGAGTAAGATATTTGTGAAAATTGGCAGCGAGCAAAAGATGTAGCCGTGACTTAATCCTAACTTTGTCCTTATATACAGATATTTTATGACAATTTTCCGTTATGCACTTGTGGGCATACACACATATCTACAAAAGTATGCGTGTATATATGGTACTATTATAGCGCACTGTATTTACTCAGCAACTGTGCAAGCAGCAATTATACACAACCGCATTTAAATTGAGTGCCACTGGCAGCCACTATCATATATATTAACACACAATACATATATACATAGGTGCATACATACATTTGGCAACTGCTCGCCTTGATGGTTCAGCTATCAGTGAATTTTCTTCTTCATTTTGGTTTTTTTTTCTGTGGCAAACGCAAATTTTCTTTTGTTTATTCACCAGCATTTATAGATTTCACAGGTTTCTGTTTTCAAGTGTATATTTGTTTATGTGCGTGTTTGTGGCATTTGTGGCACAATAGCTATGTAGCTGTGGCATGTGTATAATTTAAATGACATTCTTTGTTGCTGCTTTTCTTGTTGTTGCAGTTCCACACCTTTATCGCTGCTATTCGCCTGCATAAATCATTCGGGATTTGTGTGGTTTAAGATTAATGGAAAATGGAGAGATTGGATATTTACAGATTTATGCGTGTATATGGTTGCAAATATCCAGGTAAATGGTATATTTATAAAGTATATATAAAAGTAATATTAATTTCTGTTGAAAATTTTAAAGTTTACTATTTGTTTATACTTCAAAAAAAAATCTATAAAAATCAGAAACGGTAACTTTGCCTGGAGCGTTGCTGTAATACCCTTCGCAGATCTATTGTTTGTAGCTTAAGCGGGTATATAAAGATCTTTATCTTGATTTAAGTGGAACAGTTTGTATGGCAGCTATATGCTACAGGGGTCCGCTCTGAACAAGACGTTAGGAGATAGTACCGTTGCCTTGAATAATAATTCATGCCAAATTTCCTGAAGATATCGTGTCAAATAAAAAAGTTTTCTATACAAAGACTTGTTTTTGATTGCACAGTTTGTATGATAGCTATATGCTATAATGGTCCGATATCGGTGGTACTGATAAATAGTCAACTCCTGCTATAGAATAGGACACATGCAAATTTTCAAATCGATATCTCCAAAACTGAGAGACTAGTTTGCGTATACACAGATAAATGGGTATGGCTTAGTAAACTCAGCTCGACACGCTGATCATTTATATATCATATGTATATACTTTATAGGGTCTTCGACGAAGCTGCAATACGCTCTGAAAAGCGAATTGTCAAAAGTATCGTTAATGGGTTTGTCGAGTTCGAAACAGTTGGAACCATTTAAATAAGGCTAGGTACAAACAAAGCTCGATGTATGGCTGCCATACGAGTTAACGTAAAAGACATTACGGACCGATTTTCAACTGCGAATCGCTGCTAAATCACAACAAAATCGATGCAGGAAAGTTTTGGTATGTGTTTAGTAGGACTGGTGGAGTGTCCCTTTAACTATGAGCTTCTCTCCTACGGCCAAACACTTAATTCGGTTCCGTATTGTCATCAATTGGAGCATATGAAGGAAACAATCGCCTGAAAGCAGCCACTTTTTGCAAATAAGAGCGGTAAAAACGTTATACAACAGGACAACGTTAGGGCGAAGTAGCATTATGTAATTGCCGTTAATATAGCAACAAGTTATCGAATAAAATGGTGCATATATGATTCAGATCGAATAATTGTAGTTAATCTGAATCAAGCCTTCACACTAATGTAAAACTAGACTCTACATTTTCTTCTACAAAAATAGTAAATTACTAGTATTTTAAAGAGAGCGCCATCTAACGATCAGATCAATGAATTTGATATTAATGTATTAGGCTCTCATTTAATTTGCACCAAATTGCCAAATATATTAAGAGCATTCATATAAGCCCTTCCCCACTAGATCTATTGAAGCTAAAAATTAAAGTATGAAAGTGAAACTATGTCGCTATTCCTCTAAGGCTCTCTAAGTGCTCTTAAAAATATAAAATATAAATTTAAAAAAAATTTCTTTGACCCTCTAATACAATGTTGCAATGCAGTATTACTCAGCTTATAGCTCACGATTTTAAAAATATTCAATATACACATTCAATTACAAATGTTAGTAATTTCATACAAATTCACAGTATTAATCGCCATAAATCACGTACACTTTTATCTTAGACATGAGTTTGTATATATTTCCTCTTAATCTGCAATAGAGAGTGCAAAACCAGTTGCCGTTATTAGCTTTTGCTTTGCAAAGTTTACCTTTACAAATGAATATTTAGCCAGAATCGTTTTAGTTATCAAGTATTGCTTTAAATCTCTGTCAACTGCCTTATAACTGTACACATGCTTTGTCTTATAGACATATAATTGGTCTCTCTCATATTGAACTAATTGGAGCAAAAGTATAAATAAAGTGGAAACTAAATCAAAAGCAGCAACAGCAACATCAATTAAAACAATTTTTCACTTTTCTCTACGTAACTGTACAATTCAGTTAGCTTTTCATTAATTTGCTACCTGCTGATTCATAAATGCAATGAAAGGCGACATCACACTAGGCTCTGCGGGTGCTTTCAGCTTTTTATTTAGTTATCATTCACTAAAGCGGAATTAAAGCTGAAAGCCAATAAATGCTCGTTAAGCATGGTCAGGAGTTGTAGACGAAGCATTAATATTATTGGAGAGAGGGAGAAAGAGAGAGAGAGAGTATGATAACAGTAGTATCAAATACTAAACATGAGTAAAATGAAAATATTGAAGAAACGCTTAACTATAGCCATAACAAGATTTGCTGATATCGTAAGGTTATATTGTAGACTAAATTATAAAACTTTTAAAAAGTGGGCGTGATAGCGTCCATATCGTAAATTTAATCTAAATATCTCAAAAAGTATTACATTAGAGCTATCGTACAAAATGTGGAGTAAAGTTTTGATTTTGCCAGCTCATGCGATGATGAAAAAGAGGAGAACATCACATAATAACCATGCCCACTCATGTTATGTTTTAAAAGAGATAAATCCAGGGCTTAATCATCCCTTCTTCCTATGGGTTTCCGTTTTGAAGTTCATCTTAGTGGGGCAAAGCACAGTTTACTGCGAAAAAAAATCGAAAATATGAGAACCTCCATTCTTCCGATTGAATATTTTCGTATGACAGTGGGAAACTTCATTTTTCTCTCTTTTTTGAAAGAAACATATGAAATCGGTTAGAAAAAGTAAAAAAAAAAAAGAGGAGAGCAAAGAAACTACATGCGATATCCAGACTAGTTTGAAAGCAACGAAAAGGCATCTGAAAGAATCGAATTAACATAAAACTTCGTATGTAACTTTGACTCACAACTCAATAGCGCCACTATCGCAAGAGATATTTACTACCGGATGGTACATTCTCGTGGACGGTTACTGTGAAAATTTCAGCCAAATCGGTTTTAAAGATTTTATTTTGACTGCGCACGAAAGAAGTCACGTTCGCGGTCTTTTGAAAAATGGAAATGGTCGGTGTTTCAATTCTTGTTTTTGAAAAATATCTCCGTGATATCAAAGTAAACTTGGCTGTTGTATATAGTAACGCTTCTTCTCCGATGGCGATTGCCAAACATTTGTTTATCAAGTTTCAATGCGATCGCAAGTCGCGTGTTGATGAGATGCATCCAGTCTTTCTTAGGCTACCGCAGAGAATAACGTTATTTTCTGTGAGGCCACTTCACGGCCGTGGGTGACTCCGTTTTTAAGCGAAGTTCAAGAGAGTTTATGTGTCGTTTTGTGACCGTCGACGAAACATAGATTAACTTGTATATACCAGAGACTACTTGACGCATTGAACTTGCTTCAAAGAAGGCGAAAACTGTCCTAACTATCGGAAAGGTGATGCACACCGGGCATGATATTCATTTCGATTACCTATAGAAAAGCAAAATGTTCAGTGAGCTCTACTTGGCCATCTTATTGGACCGGTTCAGCGTGTAGCACAAAAAAAAAAAAAACAAACGACTCTACTGTACGAAACACAAGTACTCTGCTACCATGGCAATGTACAGGTTTCCATCAGTGCTGTCGCCTCTACCAAATTAGTCGCTCTACGAACTGCTGCTTAGACACCATGTTCTTCAAAGTTGGCTCCGTACAATTTTATTTTATTTCAAACGTAAAAGTGACTTAAAAAATTTTCTTTTTTCTTTTCTAGTCTAAATAGTTATTGGTCTAGCATCGCATACAACAAGCTCATCTATATATTTCCACTCAAATAACCGCTTCCTTACCCTTATCCATATACATTTTTATATTATTTATTAATCTTATTTCTAGCTTTTTATTGACACATTCTTCACTCCTAACTCTTTTATGTTTTCATTTATCACAGCTATAATGTCACTTTCAATTTTTCACAATTCTCAATTATACAACTACAACTACAACAAGTGTGTGTTTATTTAGACACCATTGGCAGTCTTGGCAAGCGTCTCGCTGCTATAGCTCCATGGAGATTGTGGACATATTTCGACGAAGTTTTCATGAAATGCTACGATTGCGTCTGTACAAATCACTGGGTGTGTATATGTGTGCGCATTTATGTTATGTGCAATATTCTGTCATTCGATTGTCAATTGTGGCAAAGTTTACACACGCCCGCCGTCCCCGCTAGCCCCAAGCACGTCTCATGCCGCTGTAAACTTTTATATTAAGCTATTTCGAATTAGTTGCGTATAAGTCATCTTCAGACATATATATTATATCAGTATGTACATGCATCCAACATTCCTATGCGTTCAAGCGCGCATTATTAAGTTTCGTTTTATGACAAACTTTTCACTTCGGAGCGTCGAATGAAATTTATTTTCCATTTATGTCTGTTTTGACGTGTTGTCGCCGGACGCGCAGTTATATTGACATCTTAATGTGCGCCTGTGTGTGTGTAAATTACAT